GAAAAAGATCGATCGTTTTCCAAAATCTTGTGAGAAAACTAGGAAGCTAATTGAGTTAAAAGCTAATATTTATAGCAGATATGACTGAGACATGTGTATCTATCTAATAATGAAAACCCAATCAGCATCCGACTTTTTGTTCATGAAATATTCAAAGAGAAAGTTTGAACTTTGCAAATGTTCGAATACCGACAGTAACCGTCTTTCTCGTTTTCTTTCACTTTACTTTTTACTCTCATAATACACGACGGAAAAAAGTCAAAAGATATTACAATTCTGAGAAACACGTAACGGGGCGGGTATGTTCAAATGTTTTTATGACAAAAAGAAATTTTTTTTATGGTATCCTCTGTTTTTTTTTGCACCTCGACAAAAGCGTTTTGTTTAAAGTTTATTCATAACTTATTATGTATGTATAGACTATGTGTCTATATTAATATGTCAAATGTTTCCTCTATAACAAAATACATATTGACATGGTTTCATTTTTCTAGTGGTCGACATTTTTTTATTTATACGAAGTTTTAGATTAACTGGCTGAACGTGATGGCATCGTCTTGATTGATAACCTATTTAATTCATTTCTCTCCTTCACTTTAACTGTTATTTCTTTTTCATATATAGTATATAGAATTGTGCTATTAATAACTGATATTTTATTCACTTCTTTGTAAGCTTTATTCCCAATAAACCTGTGACTTGACATTTTTGCATCCATCAGAAAATAGAATCGCCTTACAGTAAGCATTTTGGGCTTCTCAAGTACACACGAAATTAATCCAACTTTAATGCCGTTTTTTGCCTCAGTATCGTTCTCCTGTAATCAAAATATCCGCTGTCTTGGGAAAAATGGCCTAAAGAGCATCGAAAAATTTTATTTTTAGATAACTTTTTTATACATTATTTTAAAGATCTTTCACGCTGATTCTACTAAATAGCCCCATTTTTGAAATAAAATGTTTACTAGTTAGCTTACTGCATGAAAATCATGTTTTATTTTAGAAAATGAAGTCCAACAACGGAGATTTTTATAAGAAAAGATGATACATCGAAGTTTACTAACCACTAATCAAAGTTGAAATATGCTGACTCGTACTTTTTTTACTAAATGTTCACTTTCTCACTTGATAAATATCTAAAGTTGTTTATCTTTTGAGACATTCTGTACACTCAAGGCAAGTTATCTATGATTTAGACTCAGAGACATTGTTTTCAATGTAGCAAGTACAATGAAGTATTACACTTACATCTTAAGACAAGTTAAAAGCTTCATTCAAAGAAATATATCGATCTACTATCACTCAAACAATTATAATTCTCCGTTTATGTTCATAACTTCTTTAGTAATTGTGAAGTCATTACAATTTATTATACTGGTAGACATTTTATGTGAGCTTATTTTATGCTAACTTAAATAAAAAAGACATTTTGTTATTCGAGATCTCTGGATTTTAATTAGCATAGTCATTTTCAACTTATCTTACCTTTTTTTATCTACAACTTTGATTGTTCATCAGAAAATACGCGGCATACGTCGAGTGTCAGCGAAGATCAATAAAAACGATTCTCATCAATGTACGATGTCAACATTACTGTTTTTTGTTTCTGAAAGTTTATTCTTTCTTTCTGTTCAAGGATATGTGTATCCTATATATATATATATATAATTAGTAATTACTCGTATGCACGCCTTCGTCAGGCATGCCATTCTTACTAATAGAATTTTTGTTTTATATAATAATCGACTCCAAAACAAATCGGAAAAATTAGATGGATCATTTTTTTTGTGTTAATTCTGTAGCTACTATGAATAATGCGTGGGAAATCAACTAAAGAAGTGAAAAAATTGACAGATTATTTTTATTTTTGTTTCTTCAGTTTTCCACAATCGACTAGATGAATAAAATAATACTAGTATATGCTACCAGTTTGTGAAACATAGTTGAAAAAGATAAAAAACTTTAATATTTTTATGAGTTCACTGCATTTCGTACGTGCTTGATACCTCTTTTATCGAGAATGATTAATATATTTTAGCGACAAGATACTCAGAGGATCGAACATAACAGAATTCTAAGTGAAATATTTTATCATAAATTGCTTTACTAATAGGCCAACAATTACGGTTAACTGTAACTGTAAAAACTGTAGAACTGCTTCACTGGAATAGTTAAAAACTCTTGGAAAAACAATGAAAAAAACAAAATTAACGACCTAACCTATATTTTCATATAGCCCCGTTCATTTCTAGCCTAGTCAACACAGAAAAAACCTACACACTGAAAAAATCATGTAGCACAATAATAGACTCCTCATTTATTTCCCATAACACTCTAGTTAAAAGACTTTTACTAGGGTTAAAAATAACATGATTCGATTGAGAATTTTAAGGGCTACATTTTGATAACAAGACTTTCTCAAAAATCACTTTTTCTGTTTTTGAAATTTTAATTTTAAGTAGAGAAGATGGAAAATTTGAAAACGTAAATTTCTAATATCTAAATGTGAATTAAAAATTTTCGTTGACTATACCATTTGAAAGAGCGGAGAAAAGTGCATCGAGGAATAGTATTGTAACTAAAATATAGAGGTATTTTAGTCTGTTTAAAACGGTACTTGCATGTCTCACTCAAAACATCTATTTAAATTGCATTTTTTGACTACTTAACGTTTGTCTCAAAAGTTTTCTTTTTAATTTCTTTTTAAGTTTTATTGTACCAGATAATTTTACATTTAAATATCTTTGATTTAGTGTAAAAATTCCTACCTGTTTTATCCGAGAATGCCGATACCCTATGATGATTTCTAAATGATTTTAATTTTTTTGTTTCATCATCATCTTCTTCAATCAACAATCGTTTTTTCAGCCATTCTGGTTGAATTGGCGATAATGTTTCTTTACTAGTGTAGGTCTGAAAACGGAAATAAACAGATGTAAACAATTTCTTTATAAGACCTTTTTTCAATCCTACTATTACCTGATTCTCATATGTGAACTGACACGATACACTTCTTGTTGCCTTTGGTTTTCGTTCATTCTATAAAAAAAACAGAGAAAACTTTCTTACTACATAATTTAAAAAAAAGTGGATAGTATAGAATTAGACATATTCCGTTTTTAGATTTAATCTCGCTAGAGACACAAGATTTTCGCTTAAAATACGCTGTGTTCGATCTTCTTCCGTGTGATTTAAAGTTCAATTTGAAAATGCTTCGATTGTTTAGTGGCATAGTTTCATTTCTATAATGTCATTTATATTGGTGATATAATCTTTTGCACTAAAATTCAAGACTTTTTCTACGATCTATCTTAAAACAGAAACGAGAAAAACAAAAGGTCTTGAAATTTCACTGCCTTATCTCTACTCATCTTAGATCTATTAAAATTTATTCATAAATAAGCGGTTTATCTCACGAAAAAAAATTGATAAAAAAGCTGTCTAAACGGCTTTTTTATCGATCGTTCTGTAACGTATTTTTTATATTGTTTTTAATGATTTTTTTTTTCTGGGATGAAAAAAAAGATATAACATACGTAATACATAAAGTTGTACACAATACAATATACCTGTTGATTTCTAAGTTTGACTTCATCTACAACATTGTGTAAATCGATGCATTGCTTTCGTAGCTCCTAGAAAGAAATACAGATTATGTTGGTACTTCTTTATAATAGGCAAATGCTGAAATTTCTATTATTTGACTAATATCATGATCATCCTCTAATGATTAATTATGTTTATGGGTACGACTTTTCTTTCTCGTATCCATCTTACGGATCGAAATTAGACATCTCGATTCCAAATTTGAAACGTAGTATACTGATTAATGCCATCTATTTCATTAATGAAAAGTAATGATATTTTCTGACACTTGCCTGTGGTGATGTCGTTTGTTCTGTTTTACATGGTTGAATGCATTTTCTTAAAAAGTTTTGTAAGTTCCATGCCTTTGTTTTAGTTTTCTGAGGTTTTCTAGATTTCTTCATTTTTAAAAGATATGTATACTAAAGCAGCGAAGAAGAAGATCTTTGTATATTTTATAACTATGATCATGAACATCGATGACAGTTCTATAATTTTGTAATAAACGACTGTCCATAATAGTATAAACAGTCATTTTTTTTTCTGTCGTTTTTATTGTTGTTATTATTGTGTTTTTTGCATATTCAAGAATAAGAAAACGTTGCATTATATATATTATATACTATATTAGATAAAATTCAATTTGACAAGAGTAGTACGTGTACATATTTTATTTATTCTTTTCTCTCCATTTTCCTTATTCTTATTTGTCAAGTATGTTAACAATACATTGAGAGTTTAAAAAACAATATAAATAAATAATATGGAGAAGAAAAAACCGCAAGTTGTACGATTTAAGGTTTTACTATTTTTAACATATAAATTGAAAAATGAACTTTTTCTCCATCTGTTTCATTCAATCACACAAGCACCAATTAGATCTCGATTGACCTTAAATAAACTGAAAAGAACACACATACAACAGTAACAATATGTTTTATTTATTCGTGTTTTACAATTTTTTCAAAATGTGTTTTTACTGAGACAGAAAAAAGGAGGAGAACAAAGAAGAAAGAAAGTTTCCTTTCACGTAATAGGTCATATGTCAAAGAACAGTCAGAACAGATAATAATGATGTGTAGCTCAGTTTCATGTGATGATAACAATGTACAGTTATAGAGTGTCAGATTTCCTTATACTATTAAAAAAACGAGAAATGTTAACAGAAGAATTTAGATCTTTGACAAATTGTACTATATAACTCCTAACTTGTTGAAATTGAAGTTTGACAACAGCAACTAATTACTTTAATTCAGATGGATCAGTATATATAGTCTTCAATTTCTCAATCACTCTGAAATTCTTATCATCTTTCAAGCCATTGATCAGTTGTATACTTATTTCCATATTTGTTACATGATTTTACAACTATGGAATTGACGAAAAAGCTGATCCATGTTACTTCAAGTTTATGGCGAGTGTCACTTAAACCGAGTTTTAGTAGCTCGGAGGTGTTAGTCTAAATCTGACTTTTAGTGGTATATGACCTACGACAAGCTAACTTTCATCAACCACCGAATTGAACAATTTTGTACCGTCTTGGTGCACCCAAAGGTTTTGTTGTTTTTTTGTTTTATCATAACCTTATTTTTGTGATCTTCACCATATACCCTCTGGGTACTGGTATTATTAACTAACTAACCACATGATTTTTCTTCCAGTAACAATCTGAAGCTTTTGCAGATGCTGGATATTTTTATCTTACAGAGAAATCTTTTCTCTATAAAATCTAACTTTTGAAAATGATTTTTGATAGAATTGGCAATTGTATCCCACGCCCCACGACATGTGTAATTCTACAAGAAAGTCACATTTTAAATGTCACAATGTTGTTTCGCACAGCAAAGATTTAGCTTATGAAAAAAAGAAAAAATATTACTTTTACATTATAAGAAAAAGTGTATAGTAAGGTAAAGAGTCAGCATTTTTTCGAAATCGGTTATTTACGAATAAATTTTAATAGATCTAAGATGAGTAGAGATAAGGCAGTGAAATTTTAAGATCTTTTGTTTTTCTCGTTTCTGTTTTAAGACAGATCATAAAAAAAGTCTGTAAAAAAATATAAAAAGTCTTGAATTTCAGAGCAAAAGATTATATCACTAATATAAATGACATTATAGAAATGAAACTATGCCACTAAACAATCGAAGCATTTTCAAATTGAACTTTAAATCACACGGAAGAAGATCGAACACAGCGTATTTTAAGCGAAAACCTTGTGTCTCTAGCGAGATTAAATCTAAAAACGGGGTATGTTTCCTCTGTTTTTTTCATAGAATGAATGAAAACCAAGGGTAATAAGAAGTGTATCGTGCCAGTTCACATATGAGAATCAGGTAGTAGAAGGATTGAAAACAGGTCTTATAAACGTGCTAGCCGTACAGAAAGGTATATCGACATTTGGACGCACAATGTATTAGGCGACATTTCGGTGCAACGATACTTGGGCTCACGACATTTGGGTGCAGCGATAGCTGAAGTTCAAAGGCGCCGGGGCGGGTGAGGGTGAGAATCGATGAAGATTAAAGAAACAGTGATTACAGTTGGATATGTGTAATATGGAAAAAGCTCTCACACTGTACCAAGTTTGTTTAAAGAAAATTTTATCGTTATGCGTCATACTTTAACAAATGCACTCTTACTGAATGCTTTTGTCGTACATGCGTCCAAATGTCGTCGCGCCCAAATGCCGCGCGCCCAAATATCGTTGCGCCCAAATGTCGCGCTCCCAAATATCTGGTAACCGTACAGAAACAGAAGACTTTTAAAAATATCTGAGATACTGTATTTTTAGAGAAAATGTTTGATGAACTGTGAGGTAAAAGTATCCAGAGGCTTTGGAAAAGTCTCATGGCATCAATGGAAAAGTCTAAAGTTGAAATAATTCGATGACGGGTTCCGGAAATGTTCTTAGAAACTTAAAAAGAGACTACGTTACAGTTAAATTAAATATTTTGTGTACTGAGGCGATTTAGTTATAGAGAGATGTCTATCGCCAGACCGCGAGTTTTTGTCGATTTCATTGTGATTAATGCGAGGGGAAACAGCTGATTTTTGAGCTCAAAAAATCGGTTTTAATCGAAAATCGCTAAAAATCTTTAAAAATTGTCTATGATTTTATCTTTTTTTTCTTTACTTTCACTATGTCTGATTCCTATTTTGTACAAATAAAGCAGGTTCTGCACTGTTTATCGCAGTCTCTTTACTTGATTTCCCAAACAAATCACAGGAAATCAGTGAGAATCGATGCAAATCGGAAAAATCCCAAAATCAGCTGTTCCCCCTTGAGTTAATGTAATGAATCCGTCTCATGAAGGCTTGGTCTAAAACTGTGGGTTCATTTTCGAGTAAAGCGGTAAACATTTTCTGAGGATTTATAATATTGCATTGAACAGCATCTCTTGCAAGCGTCTTTTCCATGTAGTAGTCTCTAAGTAGAATGTGCAAACAAGCAGAATTTACTCGTATCATACTGCTCTGTTCAATAATTTGCCTGAATACATTTGTTTAACTTTCCACGTGATAACAAACTTTTATAGAATACTGAAGCAGCCGTCACACTTACACGGCGTTTCTTTTTTGTTTGTTCGTAAACAATTTTTTCTTATTCCTGGCGGTAAATCAGTCATTTTTGTTCCATGGTTCTAGCCAGTTTTAGAACTCTCTAGTGGTGCTAGTTACCTTGAGCAAAAAATGATGAAAGATATATGAGTTAAGATACATGCGCTACGACTAAAAGTTAGACATTAACTTAGTTCTGGCGTATTCTGTGCGTAGACATGCGTGTTTTTTCATATGAAATCAGATGGAAACGGTGCATTTATTTCGCGTACTTTTCTATACTATACTATACTGCAGAATTGGAACCAGTTGAGTTTTATTCAATCAGACCGGACCGGACCGGCCGGCTATGTGTCGGTTAAGAATACGCCTAAATCGGTGAAAAACCGGTAGAAAATCGACAACGCATTTCGCAAAAAGGTGGCTGGACGTTCACTTTTCTTGAAGCAGACTCGAACAGAAACAACTCACAGAAACCAATTCTTAGAATGTAGCACGAAAAAATTTTTCCCGAGCTGAAAAACGACATTTCGTGAATAACTTTCAGGGTAAACCAATGATGTTTTCTTCGGTCTTAACCAGTGTCGACCGGCCGGTTTACCGATTCGGTTCCAACTCTGCTATACTGTAGAAGGCTCCTAATAACAAATATCCCGGTAACTGCAGTTTCTCCAAAGAAAATGAAATCAAATTTTGTTTCTAATTTAAAGTCAAAACTTTGATTCGATGAAAAAGAGATAAAAGTGCGTCTTCTTTATTTGAATACATACCATTCGTTTTTATTTCTTGAACACGTATTGTCAAATCAAATCTGCGGTATATCCAATTTACAATGAAGTTTTCATTTTTATAGCAAAGCATTTTTGAAGATCGATGAGTCATCAAAACTGCAAATATCCCGAATATACTCGCGAAAAATCATAAATCCGCGCATGAATCACTGTCTTACTCATTCTTGATCAAAACAGAAAAATCAGAATAAAACTAAAGTTGAACAAAAAACAATTTCAAATCTTCAACAAACCAAAGTACTTGTGCACAACTAATTAGAATACAAACTAGATTATTAATTAAAATAGTCATTACGATCAAACAATCTCATTGTATCGGGAGTGAGATACAGTGTGCTGGGACAAATTATGTTTTATAAGAAGACTATTACAATAATAACACGTTACTTTGAACTTAACTGAATATTACTAATAAGCGTCAGAAGAAAAACTTATCAATATCAGATATGAGATCAAAGCCTCCTTCTTCATGGGATACTCAGAATTCATAACTAATAACGTTATTTTATGTTAAAAAATGGGTTAAAATTATTCCATTACTTTAACAGTGATTCTGTAACATATGTTGAATAACTACTCACCAAGAAAGGACACGGTACTTTTTGTTAGAGCAGCTCTGTTTCAGTTTGAATTCTAAGACAAATATAGTTACGATAATTATGGATAACTTTTTCATGTTTAATACGAATCCAAGATTCGTTCATGACGAATACGCAAGAAGTTACCCATTCCCATATGTTTTTTACAAGTCTGGCATACAGATGGAAGACAGGATTTTGTCTGGATTTCTAGAAAATGCCTACAGAAAAATAATTCTTTGAGCCACTTTGACTGATTCTTTGAGTTATATCTAACAGGTACACAAACATCAAATCATTAGAGAGATAATAAACTAATTTCGAAATAGCGAAGATAGCAATAATTTGAAAATGCTCATCAAGTGTATTAATGAGCAGGTTATCTTAGAATTTTCTACCTCAACTTCTCTAACAAAATTTTTAAATGGACCAACAGAAGATTAATTTTGTCTATACGAACCTCTTGCATAATTATTGTCTTTATAACTAAATCTGTTATGGCTCGAATACATTTATCGCATTGTGTTTGATAATTATAATTTTGTTTTAGACGATAATTTTCTGTTTCAAGTTGTTCAATACGTCGTAATAAATAGGCTTTTTCATCGGATTCCCACTGTTGATACTAAAACACATACATCAATATACACTTACATGAATCAAATTTTCTAACATCATTAGAACACTCACTGTTTTAGTTACGGTGCTTTCTAATTTTGAAAAATGTTCTTTTAATAATACGTTTTCATTATGTAATTTTTCCAATGTTAAATTAATACTCTTCAATTGCTAGAATGACAATAACGTTAAAAATTAAGCGGATATAAAATTCGTTTAAAAATTGATAGTTAATTCTTACGTCATATTCGGATGAGTCAGGAACTACATGTTTTACACTATCACGATGATTTGGTTTGTGTATGCGATTTTTCCAACGCATAATTACAGCACTCATTATTTCAAAGCACCTCAACTATAAAATGAAAATTGCTTAATTACAACATTGTCTGTAAAACTCGTTTAATTTTTAAATGCAGTTAATGAAATTTACAAGTAATTTAGTATGCAGAGAGAAAGATTTATATAATTCACTTTTCTAGTGATATATCTCTACATTCACGAAAAAACAGTCTAATATTTTTCAAATAAGATGGTGACATTTTTATAGATGTCAGCATTTTATCTAAGAATTTCTAATCATGCACAAGTTTTATGATCACACCTGTAAAAATGGTATACTAATAATTGACTCGAAGTTCACATTTACGGAAAATTCCCTATATAAAATGATTTCCGACTTAATAAATATAAAAATGTGTTATACAACGAAGCCACTATGGACCATAGACGCAAGAATAATACGTTTTTCTCTTTTTAGAAATAGTTTTACGTTTGCAGTTTTTTTTTTATTCATCTTAAATGACACAGAAGTATGACATGTTGTTCGATATATTCTTTTTTTTTTCTTTTTAAGCTATAAGAAGTTCTACTTAAAATGGTGATAAAACTTTTTTGAAGAAAACCTCATCTTATCCCAAAAATTTCACATATAAATATTAAACCATACGATCGTATAAAAGAAGCTAAAAGAGAGTATATTTTACTATTCTGAAGAGTTTAGACATATGTCGGTACTCAACTTAAACCTGCATTTAGGTCATTGGCATCCACAAGCAGAAAGCCATAAACTAAACGTGACTAATTTCTCGTTGTATATTTATTCATTTAATTGATTCTTTTTTATACTTATTTAAGTGTACACATCTTTTAGGTTTGTTTCCTTGTGCATGATTAACCGTGACTTTTTAATTCCACGTTTTCCGAATCTTTATCCAGAAAATGCTTAGGAGCTTAATGTTTTCGATGAAAAAAGACGATCATACGTTCGTGATCTTTGCTTCTATGATCAAAAACCATCGTTGATACTTGTACAGAATAATCAAACCCTATACCGTATGTATGAGTAAAAGTGAGAATGGGGTCATTCGGTAGAAGTATCGTATCGTTGAAAACAACGATCATATGAGTTAAATCTGTCCGAAGGTCATGCAGGCGTTATGAATGCGTATTGTTATTTCAGATTTAATACCGTGTTTAAACTTATATTCAATCAAGCATGGTATTAGACAATTTTTCTGTAAGCATTCTGTTACTGATATAAAATGGAATACTAGTTGATAGAGGTTGCGAATTTTTTTTTCTTAGGCACCATCTTTATATGTCGTTAAAGGTAACAAAGAACACTTATGGTATTCTTCCCTCTATTCTTTATTTGTCTTAGGTATTATAATATTGGACCATGATGGAAATCGTATAATGGCAAAAGTAAGATGCGAGAGGGAGTAGTAGAGAAAGGATATACTACTTTGGTTGTTATTCTTTCGTTCAGTATTATAATCAATCATTTTCAAGTGTGAAAGAACAGAAAGAATTTGAAAAGAGTTTATTCAATAAAACTCATAAAGGTGCTGGTGATGTTATATTACTTAATAATATGACAATTGTTTATAGAAATAATGTTGATCTACTATTTTATGTTATGGGTAGTACAGATGAAAACGAAGTAAGAGAACACAGCAACTGGTTGCAATAATCTGAGTTGTAAAACTTTTTTTTGTTCTATTTAGCTAATGCTTAATGCTGTATTATCATGTTTATATGAATCCTTGAGTACGATGTTAAAAAAAAATGTTGAGAAACGACTTATTTACGATAATTTAGACCTTGTTATGTTAACAATAGATGAAATATGTGATGAAGGGTACGTTAAATAGAAAGAGAAAAAGCTGTTAAGATAGAATAAGCTTATGCAAAGTCTGTTTTTTACAAAATCTACAGGATTAATACAGACTTACGCACTTTTTGGACTAATGTAGAAATACCCAAGTTACTTTTGTGCCCAAACCCTTTTTATTGCATCGATGTGACAAACGTGAAAACCAATGACTTTGGTTTTTTTCCAAAAGAAAAAGGCAGCATCAGTACTAAAGTAAGTACTGAAGTACTTTAAAGCTCAGAAAAATGTGTATTAGTACAGCACCATTTCCTACGATTCATAAAATTTAAAAGAGTGAATAGGTTGATATCACGGGTCGTTCTGGACGGGATGAAGCAAAAAATGCCTGTTACAACAACTCCTGATTGATATATCGAATTCTGTTCGTGAATCATTGCGAATAAAAAAAAGAAAAACCGACTAAATAAAAAACGGTTTTTCTTTTTTTTATTCGCAATGAACATTTTCTGCGTTTTTTTACAACTGTTTTACTGTTATCTTTCTTTTTAAACAATTATGTTCTTTCTTCATAAATAAAATCACTTGCACCTTTTAACTCTGAATTTCTGATCTTTCAACTACCTTGTGTTTTTGATGTGAAGATACTGTTTTCCATTTGTATTTCTCATTATTCTCTGCTATGGAGTCGATGAATTATTTATCTATTATTTTTTGCTTTAGTATTATATTAGAATCCGATCCAATAATGATTATACAACGTGTACTGCTCCGGCAAGATGACGTATCGTTCGGTGAACAAACAGTATCACAGGTAAAAAATTTTGATTCGACGAAATTTGTTAATTCTTTTAAATGTTCTATAAGAAAAACTCCGAATTGTTTTCCTTCAGGTTTTTTATCAAAGTCTTCATTCGTTACTGAACCGTGACTCATAAATGAATAAGTATGGAATATTGTGCTGACACAAAAATCGATCGCTTTTCGCTTATTAATCAAAAGCTCTTGTTTAAATCGTAAAAAGGACCAAATTATTATTATCTAAAAAAGCAATAGTTTCAGAAAAAATTTTCTCTAAGAATAATTCACCTTAAAAGAATATTCTTCATGAGTGGAATCATCAGTAAACCTAAAGTATGTGAATATCTATCCTGCCGCATACGGCCTTTAAACGTCTTGTATTTAAGAAACGACGCTTCTATTTCAAAACAAGATACGATCAACGTTTTGCTACGCTGTAACTTAAACCTAAAGGTTAATTTAAACACTTTTACGTATGAAACGTTGAGATCTTCCTCTTAATGCTGAAAATTCTCCTTATAACTTACTTTTTATAGAGTTAATGTCTGTTAGTTAAAGTCTGTTCTATCTAACAAGTGTTTAGCTAATATCTTAAATATAGTAATGTTGTATATGATGTATTTAAGATCAAAACTTTATTAGATACGAGACTTGTGTACACATAGTCTTATTTTTTCCTCTTGCATAAATTCTCCTTTTCGAGCCAATCTTTATGTTTGAAATAACTGTCTTTAGACTTTATCGACATTGTCAGTGTTTCATCCTGCATTTGAAGTATGCAGCGAGTCTTCAAGCAAAGTATTTTTGTAGTGCTAAACATGACATGTACATTATTTACACAAATTGATTTGATTAAAAAACGGCGACAGTTGTGTTTTTCCTTTGCATGTTATTGATTCAATAGCATAAAATACTATAGTGAATTGTTTTCCCGCATGATTGTGTGACATAAAAAGATCTAAATGACTGCAATGTTCGCGTGAAAGGTTTTCGTCTAGAAACTATTTCAACTATTGAAGTCATCATTCTGTTTTATTTGTATATTTTAAGGTTTTCAATCATGCCAAAGATCAACTAAAATGGCCATGGTTAAAATAAATTTTATCAAGTTGAAAATCTTGTGTTTTATTATTATTATTATTATATTATTCTATGAATGCTTTTTTTTTTTGTAAAATCGTTTGTTTTTCTTTTTCTGAATGCGTACAGATACTTAAGATATTTTTGTTTGCGTTTGATACTTTATATCTAAACAATAAATAAAACTTGCAGTAATCGGTACACGTTGGAGATGAGCAAACATCAGGCATTTTCAAGCGGTTCTGTAGTAATTTTTTCATTGAACCATTATTCTGCCTTGAAGAAAATATTCTTGCAAAAATCCGCAGCTTCCTTAGATATTTTATTATAGTACTGGATCTTGATCATGAGAAATAGTGTTTTTATTTTTAGACTTTTTTCGGTTATGTAATAAATCTTGTGTAACTTTGCATTTTGGAATTTTGCTTTGTTGATATAACTAGATAAATCTGTTTCTTTTAGATACTTTAACGTTGAGCGTAGCTGACGATTTATTGAAGCCACATGATGATGGTAGAAATGATCTCATTGTACCAATACCAACCGTCCAGTGCAGCTGTCATGAATCGATTGTATCCATATTGTACAATCATATAATAAAATCCTACGTCGAATTCTATTTGATAATTCATGATCCTATAGGACTGTACAGAATATACAGGCAAATATTCTGTCGTAAGGCCAGCGCAGGAATGTAGGGAACATTAGGGAAGACCTATGCAGGACTCTGCTGCATGCCGCTGCAGTATTCACGGGTAGACGTCGTCAGGCAATTTTGTTTTGTATATGAAAGTGTTAGGCAATATAGCATCATTTACAGTCGGTTAGTTCATAATTGTTGGCTTATCAAATGTAGTTTATCTCAATCTATTGATTAACAACCTCCCCCTTCCCATATAGTAATTTTGTTTTTAAAAATGTGCCTCTTCTTGTTCATAGATGTTTCTTGCATTAGTATCAGTTCTGGATTTGGTGAAATAACGTTTCTTCATCTTACTTCAAACATATAGTTTCGATTTGAAACAAAAAATGGTACTAACGTTAGATTTTGAAAAAAGATTAATATTGGTGATTATGTTAGGAGATTTATTCAATGGTTTGATTCTGTCAACATATTTTACAAACTTACCCTTTGATATCTGCTCTAAATTGCAAAAATATAACACTATTTCCTTAGATTCTTTTACATAATAGGAAATTTCTCATGTGTGGAGGTGGCATATATTGGTGACTTTGCTTTTAATTTTGATAAAAGAAAATTTCTGATACAAACGCTTTTTTTGGTTCTTGATACAAACTGAATTTTGATCTTGATCACAGTTTTTGTTTATGTATTATGATTGAGATAATTTTGAGTTGCTGTTCGCATTGATGTTTAAGCATCTAGCTAGTTTATGATTATTCTCAAAATTTACTTTTATTAGAAATACTTTACGGGCAGAGTATTGCATTTTCAAATCTCTGTCATCACTTCTTTCTGATGATAATATCAAAACTAAATTGAGTCTTTCTCGGTAAAATTATTACATATATATTGTCATGCTTCTATTGTATATTTCTTTTCTTCTAGAGACATGAATCATTTGCATATTACACTTCTATTTTTCTGTTTTGCTCAATTTTCTATCGGTCAGATGACTGATAAACCGATTGATGTTGTTTTTACATTTACAAATGCAAATACTCATATGGAAAATAAATTTCGCACAATGATTACATCTTTATTAAAATATTCATCTGGACCATTAAATTTACATGTAATTGGTGATAATAAAAGTCGATTGTTTGTTAATCAAACATTAGACAACATAAATACGCATGCATTATTTAAAGTACGTATTTATTTCTACTCTACTTTACATGAATATTAAAGTTTTTTCTTCAAAGTATCGTTTGTCTATTTTCTGATTTACTTTTACTTTTTCTTTTAGTTAAATGAAATTGATATAAACAATGTATCAAATATGAAAAGTGTTATCATTAAAAAATTTATGAATTATTTCTCATCTCAACATAAATATTACAAAGATCCTCTATTTTTTCTGTCAATAGTTCTACACGAAATATTTCCAGATTCAATAAAACACGTTATTATGCTCGATGTGGATATTAAAATTAGAAGTGATATTTTCGAATTATATAAATTATTTAATAATTTTAATGAAACAAATATTATCGGTATAGCTCGAGAAAATCAGCCGGTTTATCGTCATTTATTATATCGATATCGTCAAGAAAATCCAGATACAATAATTGGTGGACCACCACCATATGGTTTAACCGGTTTTAATAGTGGTGTATTGTTACTTAATTTAGAGAAGATTCGCTTGTCTACACTATACAATTCTTATTTATCAACAATTGACGACCAAATACAATTTCTAATAGATAAATATTATTTCGTTAATTCTCATTTAGGTGATCAAGATTTTTATACATTATTAAGTTTTGAGCATCCAGAATTGTTTTATATACTCAAATGTAATTGGAATAGACAATTATGTTCATGGTGGAAAGATAAAGGATATGAAATAGTGTGGAATGAATATTACGATTGTAATGAGAAACAAATTCATATTTATCATGGTAATTGTAATACACAGTTTCCACAAGATGCATACAAAGATGAATTATAGAATGAAATTCGTCTGACATTTTGAAGTATTTATTCTCCCCCTGTCATTGTTTCGCTTTTCATTTTTATTTCGCATTGCTAGAAGAAAATTTGCAGTTTTTTACCAAATTTGTTTACCTGTTTCTTTTCTCATAGCTGATTATTTCAATTAGAATACTCTTTCACCTGATGATTAATGTTTATATAATAATTATAACTAAGACAGTGTGTTGAATTTCATCGTGTTGAATATGATACTTTATAAGAAGGCAATTGTGTTTTCGTTCATTCTTCTCTCTCTTACTCTTGTAATTCAGTCAATATGCAATTTTTTGTAGAATTTCTTTTGTGCTACTTTTGTAGGCAAACATTCCAATGCAATATTTTTTATTATGCTGTTTTTTGCTTTTATTAACTGTCCAAAAATTTTTTATTTAACATTTTTGTATAAATCTCATCCACTTTTGTACGCTTTTGCGTCTGTCAAATGTTGTGAATAATAAATTCATTTTCGTAATAAAAACAGACAATAACGGACTTGAGCAACAGATTTGATTAAAAATTTAATGGTACGATTTTTTTTCATATGCAGTTTGGGTAAAACCAACGCCGACGTTTGAACTATCGGTCCGCAAAAGGTTTGGTTTCAATCGAGGGAATAAGGAGAAAATCACCTTAAAAATGCAGATAGATTAACCAAAAACATTTATTTGGGTAATTCAATGAGAATTTAAAATTTCAAAATGGTTGGTATTCGAATGATAAAATAATCAAACTTCAAACTAACTAAAAAATTTGCCATTTTGACGTAAAAGTCTTTGAGCAATTTATTTAGGCTTGTAGATAATATGTGTCCGTAACTCAATATTTAGTATAATGTTTTCTCACCTTAGCTCTGTTCTCGCTGGATTTACTAAAATCCCAAGTTTTTTTACGTACAATTCTTTTCTTTTCGTTCGTAAGACATTTTCACTCAAAGCAATGACATATTCAGAATCAGCGCATAAAATTATGAAATAAGCTACGTGTCAAAAAAGTTCTTGTAGTTATCTGCCTCAATCAGCTGCATTATATCGATTAGCGAATTTGTACTATTCAAAATATTATAAAGGACGGGGGACAATAAGAGGCAAAATCGGCCCACGCTCAAATCAGTCTTATGTTAACTCATCTGATGCAGGTTTTGTCCATGATTAACGCTAACATATTTTTAAATCTTAAAAATCCTTCTCAGTGCCCCTGGAAACCTTTTAGCAAAAAAAACTCTTCTCGCGTTAAGCGACGTTTTCTCAAAGTATTTACATTATTCAACCTGTTTCACCCAGAGCAAATATCAACTGTTATACACCGTTCGGTAGAGAATTTCACGAGCTACAAAATAATATATGAGATAACCTTAAGATAATGTAAGTGGGTAGTCTAAGATTCGAAATACTCGGTAGCATCCCAGGAAACCGGTAGGTCAACGTCGTTCATGTTTATAACGGTGACTAATTTTCTCGTTAACCACTGTACTTTACACATCATTCGAGAGAGAATTTCACTGGCTTCAAAATGATGTATAAGATGATCTTAAGAAAATGTAACTGGGTAGTCTAGGCTCCGAAATACTCGGTAGCATCTCAGCAAACCTGACCGCTGGAAAACCAGGCCCTTAGTATTTGGTCAGAAAGTTTTACAAATCATATAGTCTGATAGAGCGACTATATAGTCGATTTACCACTAGCTACAAAGGGCGTGAAAGTTACCAACCTATTG